AAATTGTGCCACTCTCAGCCACACCGATGGATGCAATGGCCGTTGAACATCAAGTGCATATGAAGCTCCAGCAGATGCGCATAAACACACATCTGCTAAGAGCAGAGTGGCATCTAGTCGTGAACAGGAGGGCCGAAATTAGAAGCCTGACAACCAATTGTTGTGATACATGGTCACAAAATGGAGCATTGCAAGTGCTGTTGAATAGTAAGACGGTGAAGCACACTTCTTCACTCGAGTCGACAACAAATCACGTTCGAAGAATAAAGGGTGGTGGCGTCTAAGACATCGTTTGCGACTCAACCAGTGCATTGTAAATGCTAATTGGAGTGTGGAAATGAAACCATTTGTGAGTGCGGCGGACAGCGGACTTAAGATATCTGGTTTGGGAAGGCGATGGCCTGCATGCATCTTATGGCCTCTCGGTTCTGTAGACATCCGTGACTCCAGTTCACCACAACAGTAGTGCCTCCTTAGACTGTTGGATTAGCAGGGTTTGAGTGGGCACTGCGACAGGTGGGGAGGAACCACGCTAATGTGGAATTCAAAGTAAAAGCGGATGTAAAGTAAGTATGGTTGTTAAGGGTGATTGGTACATTCCACTTCCCTATGGGCGAAAATCAAGTTAAGAGAGTTATTTTCATCTGCTCCACTTACACTTTTCCCGCCACGGAATGGAGGAGAGACCATCTGCTGCTCCTTTACGTCTCACAAGTTGGTGTTATGCCTCCACCGCATTGCACAGATGCCAATGGGAATGTGCAAAATGATTGCTATTTGAGGCCACGACTACTTTCATTAAGTTTCCACATTCGTTGTCGGGTCAAAGTTTCAAACGGTAAACGGTTTTGGTGGCAGTTTTCGATAAGATCACCTACTCGGTGCGTTAGCGAAGCGATTTCACAAGGAAGCCCAATCAACCGTGGAGATGTTGGATGTTGTTGTCATTGAAGTGGCTCCTAGGTGCTGTAACAGGCAACTTCATCCTCGGCAGTCTCCGTGTTTCATGTGGACCCCCCCCCCTCGAAGGTGAGTGAGAGACTGAAGTATCGCTTCCATGTGCCTAGTTGAAGTCCATCGAACGAGATGTGGTTTTGTAGAGCGGTCTTTGGACGAAGACCGACAGGTGTCAGCAGATAATCGAATAAGTTGTGCCTCCGACTAGGCTCGAGCGCGCGACAGTGGAGATGGAACAAATCAGTTTACGCATTGTCTTCTCCTCTCATGCGCTGGTCTCTTGGCGAGGTGGATGCCTCGCGCGGAGACGTGTAGGTAGGTTGCACGGTCGTAAGCAAAATAAAAGGGATTGAGGAAGTTGGTTTGCATGCAAAATAGTTTTGGGGGAAGTGTTTCGTCGTGAGGGGTTGGCTAGGCGCCTCCACACCTTCTCAGTTCGAATGACTTCCAGTGAGGATGCTATGCTAAGACCAAGGAGAAGGAAGTGGAGTTGACTTGAAGGGTTAGTGGGGCACCAACACCTGCCAGAGGTGTCAGTGATGTCCGCAGACATCACACGCCGCCCAAAGTGGACCTGTCTAAGTAAAATGCTCGCAACCATCCCCTCTCTCTCCCTCCTTCCTCCACTGTCTCTCATTTCATGACTAATCCAGATGACAGAATGTTGCGTATGTGAAGGGGACGTTGACGTCGCTTCCTGTCATCCCGTTTCCTTGTGCATTCGAGCAAGATCACGTCTGGGGAGTGGATGCGCAGTCGACCCTTCTGAAAGACTCTGGCAGCTGGCATAACTTCAATCATGACCCGAGAAGAGACACCTTCACACAACCCTGACTTCAACAATGTCTTTCTAGCAACACGCCATGCACACGAAAGCTGTACATTACAAAGGCGAATTTGGACTACGTGATAACCACTGATTCGGCGAATTTTGATGAGAGAAGTTTTCGATTAAAATCCTTTACAGCAAAATGTGCACGACAGGTGAGCTTGTTGAGCGCCTGACGACGCAACACCTCAGACGTACTCCCATTGCCAAGCGAGTGTTGAGGCACCCTCTAAAGTAACTTAAAGCCTAAAAGCAGTGAGCGATTTCGTAGTCAGGCAAGACTGCATCGGGTCACGACTTCATCACCTCCTCGTCGGTTCAATCTGCGATGCTGGGTGCCTTTTGCCTCTTCGCATGAATGTTATTTAGGGGAGGTGGAGGTGACAAGAGCATCTAATCCAAAGCCTTACTCGCAATGCGCTCCTAAGGGCGTTGCTGAAGAATGGTGGGCACCAAGCGACGAAGACGTCACCGCTTTCGAAGCCTAAACGCCACTTTGCTTATCAACCTCGACGTGTGGTGTTCAGTCCAACAGCTTGGTGAACTTTCTTCAGTCCTTTGTGCTTGCCGAATTGGTGAGTGAAAGCAAAAATGGCCATCATTGCGTTGCGCTCATGGTTGTGGGCTTATTTTTGTTTCTTTAAACTTAGCATCATAAAAATCTGTGCGAACATAGACGAATTTGGTGAACAAATCACAACTGATGCTCGAAAGGAGAGCGGCAACACATGGGACAAAGGGAGTGATTGCACTCATCGCATTCGTTATGAGGTAAACGTGGGGCAGCAGATGTCATGTGTCAATGCATGTGATTGCTTCTGTCCGTGATTGGCCATTGAAGCACGACGGGTTGAGGTGCAATCTGCTGGGCAAATTGCGACAAAAACCACTTCTTCGGCTATAAGTACGAATGGAGCACAATTAAGCCAGTGTACGCATACTCTCCATGTTTGCACTAAATTGCCTTGATGAATTGCCCCACATGCAAATACTACTTCAAGAGCAACAAGTACCAGCCGCAATATCAGTCCTCATCATGCATGCGCGCACTCACTCCTGAACATGTCTACCAAAGTAAGCGCGATGAGGCAAACGGAAGGATGACTGACTCCTCAAGAGGACTCTGCTTGCTTGCAGTAGCTGTATTGGGCGAGGGGGCACGATGATGCGAGAAATGGCATCAGAGGGGAAGGCAAGGACGCGCCTATTTTGATGCAGGCACCGAGTCGGATGAGCCCACTATCACGCCGTTCTAATCAAATTGCCTCTTCTCACCCTCCGGGTATATTCTATGCAACTAATGCGTTCTACGATGGATGGAGAATATGAGGTGTGTCAAGCGAAATGCGGTAAGTTAGGAGAAGCGGAGATGGTGTGAAGTAATCAGAATTAGGTCAGAAGCCTACCAGGCACTGTCAACTGTACTTGTATTTGAAAAAAAGGACTGGACAAAAGCTGAGATTATGCAGATCTTGACAGTGAGTGCTCTAACTAACGTAGGTATGTGGAAGGTGGTTTTGGTGAGAGGTGGGTGAGGAATAAGGCAAGAGATGAAGTATGCTTATGAGAGGCGACAGTAAAGGCAGGAGAAATGGGGACGACAAAGCGAAAGCCTCGTTCGTGGACACGAATGTGTGAGTGCATCAGAACTGGGAAGATAGGGAGGCACTGGGTTGGGAGCATAACATGACCCTCACAATGCGTATCCACAGTACCAATAATTGCGGAAATCCTAGCAAAACACGCCGACCACCCACCTTCTGCTGCTGCTATGATTGCCCTCCTTCTGTGCTCCACTTCATGCGTCCTCAACCATAGTCTCCTGCACCCTTAACTCTGTAGCTTTACTAAATCCTTGCTACAACAATTCCCGTGCCACACCTCAAAGGGCCCAAAGTGTCACCCACATAACTGCAAGGCAAAGCAGCGTTATGGCCAGTAATGGAAACACCACAGCTGTTGCCTCTGGACCATGCACGAAAGTGCTTCGGAGGACTTTTGAGTTGTACTTGAGCACGTTCAGCAGTGCTCACCGTTTGTTGATTGGCTGGATTGGAGTGGATTTTAGAAATGTCTTGCGATCACTCGTCATATGAGGATGACTTTGATTAAGTAAAATCACAGATTTAGCTTCATGGGACCCTCGGTAGGTCTGATTTGCTTTGTTCGAATTAAGAGCTTTAATGAACCTCTTTCATGCCTCAAAATTCACAATCGCATGTTTATAGAGAGATTACCATTGTACAGATTCCAGCACAGACGCTTTGAGAAGAGAGCTTGCAAAATTAGCGAATCTAAAGGAGGTTAAATGGGTGGATCACAAACTCTGCGAACTGCTTGCTCCTGGAGGCCCGATCACCGACTCGATGTTTGCCCTTCCCGCATTGAAGTATTATCATGAAACTGATAGGCATTATCTTGAGATGGAATTGGGAAATTTGGCTGCTGATTTTCAAAGAACGCTACGTTGCATTATTATCACGCCATTTGACTACAGAAGACTTGTGGGACTTAAGATAACTAACTACTATTGTGAGGTGCCTTTTCTGCAGTTTGCTCCCCCCTTACGTCTCAACTTGGATGTGACGTCGGGGGTGCCCAACTTTTCATACTATTGGGAGCAATACTTGGAAAGAGTGGGTGGCACCATGTTGGACAAGCTTGAGCTGCAGGACGAGAATAGGGAGAATGAGGAAGAAAATAGGCTGTTGGAGGGATATGATTGTGTCATCTTTCATGTTGATACCTGCGGAGTCGATTATGGATGTGTAAATCTATGGGAGCTGTCCAGGGTGATGTCGTCGAAGCAAATTCTTGCCATCACAGGAGTGATGGTGCAGAAACGCCCACTTACCTCCAATATGGACACCTTGTGGTCGGCATTTTGGACAATGGGAGGTTTTCTTTGTCCTAGGCCGCCCCCTTTGCGTGCCAGTTGGCGAATTTGGTACACTAAGAGTTTGGACGATATGGCAACCAACATTTTTGAGATAATTCGTTGGGCACGCATTGAAATTATTAAAAAAAATTATGAACCTTCTAGATCGCGCACGTAATTGCGACTAAATGTAGCGCTATGGAATTAATTGCTTTTGGCATGTTTGTTAACATTGAATAAAATTGGTTATTGCGTTCCTTTTCATGTAAAGTGTTTGTTCTCCGTTTTCCTACCAAAACACCTCTTTAGTGTGCGTAGGCGGAGGCACTTCCAATGTGGGACTTTGCACTGGTATTAGGACCAACTTTGAATGCCATCACGTCGGGCGCAATGAATACTCACCTTGGCACAAGTTAGTCCCAAAGTTTGTTGGTTTCTGTACTAGAAACGTAGATATGCGCAGAGGGATTAGCCATGAGTCAGTTGCAGACAATGAGACAAATTTATCCTTACGCCTCGTCTTCGGTGACACTCCCAGAGCCAGTTAGTTTGTGCATCAA